CCCGCTGCCATTTTGGGGCCGGGCCAGACTGGGCCCAATGCACCCCCCAACCCCTCTTCCTGCTGCCGTTGTGGGGCCAAGCTGGGCCCGATGTGCCCCCCCCGCCCATTGCTGCTTTTGGCCTGGCGTGACACCCCCACCCTCTCTGCCGCCATTTTGGGGCTAGGCCTGCATTGCCCCCTGTCTGCCTGGCCTGCCTCCACCTGCCTCCCTTCCCCATGAGTGACGGGGGTGGGGGGCATGGACAGAGCATTGCCACCCAGCACCCCATGCTGCCGCTGCATCCATGGAGCAGGGGGTGGGGGGTGAGGCCAGCACCACTGACCTTGTCCCCTGCTCTGTTCGCTCCATCACCGCTGCCTCCCGGGAGCAGGGCAGTGGGGGGGGCAAGGCCAGCTGTGTTGGGCTTGCCCCCCACCTCCATCCCATCTATGCCACCACAGCCACCTCCACGGAGCAAGGGGGGTGGGGCGAGGCCAGCAGAGCCTCACCCCACCCACTCCATCTGCTCTGTTGCCATTGCCTCCAGGGCTGGCCTCACCCCCCATCCCTTGCTCCATCTCCTGTATCCCCACCATCATGGCGGTACTCTGCCATGCCGCCACCTCCTGTCCATCAGCCAGTCAGCGTGTGAATAAAGCGTTATGGGCAGACAGACAGACTACGGCTTTTATAATATTAGAATATTGGCCAGAAAAGGAAGACCAAGGAAGTTATGGGTCTACCATGAAATAGCTAGGCAGAACTCTTAACAGAAGATACAAAGAAAATAGAGCTATTCAATAGCTACTTTGCCTCAGACTTCACAAAAAAAAATAAGCTGCATCCAGATACCTAGAAGGATTATTTGGGTAAGGAAGGTGACAAACTGAGGGATGAGATAGCAAATGAGACAGTCAGAGAGATTTTGATAGGTCAGAATGAATTAAAGTCAGCAGGATCTGAAGAACTTTATCCCAGGGTACTGAAAGAAATGACAGAGGAGATCTTGGAGCCTTTGGTAATAATATTTATGAAGTCATGGGAGAAAGGCAAGGTACCAGAGGAATAGAAAAGGGACAATATAGTGCCCCTCTTAAAAAAAAAAGGCAAAAAGGAGGATCTGGGGAACCACAGGCTGGTTAGCTTCACCTTAATACTTGGGAAGTTACTGAAGCATATTATAATTACAAACATTTGGAGAAGAAAAGGCGGATCTGTAGCCAAACAAACTTGATCCCCTTCCTTGACAAGAAAACCAGAGGCTCCTGTTACTCTAAGGGGATACTGCAGCTGGTGAAGCTTGCCGGGTGGCACCAGTGGCTGAACAAGGGCTAGCTGCGGTGTGAAGTAGGCAGTATCTGCTGGGATAGGAGCTACTCCTGGGGGAATGACTATCTCAGCAGGGAGGTGGGTGGGGGTTAACTGCAAAGCAGTAGGCTGTACATGGGGCAGGCCTTGTTATGCAGGAATTTTAGGTGGCTCCTGGAGTATTTAACCCCTGGATTGGCTACACATTAACACCTTTAAATGGCTTAAAGTGCTCGTTATGTGGCTCAAAGTTATGCCATTCCAGGACAGAATTATCTCTGATCTGCATAACCCAGTTCCTATTCCATTAAGGTATGGCACACCCCCCACAGCTATGCAGCTCAAGTTGAAGTCCTCCAGTATCCCAGGATGCAGTGGTCCCTCCCCTATATGGTGTTTCTGCATGCAGCTGAAGATGGCAACAGCTTGAGGTGGGTCAGGGTTGGCGGGGAGTGAGGTGGGCAGTGAGGCATGGAAAGCAGGAGCCAGTGCCCTAGGATGTTGCTACAGGGTGGGAAGAGCATGGCCCAGCACAAGAGAAAGAAGAAAACCACATGAGGCAGCTCTGAGGGTGCAGAGGACACTGTGCAAGGGGGACTCTGGCACTGGCTCTGCTGCCTGGCCCAGCAAGATGCTGACAGCTCCACTGCTGTCCAGCCCAGGGGCGTTGAAGCATGCTGCCCTGCTAGTTTCCTGGTGGGAGCATTTAGCAGCACTGCCCACAACAGTGCTGGGGGGGAGGAGGAAGAGGAGGGGGAGGAAGAGGGGAAGGTGCTGTCTTATTGTGGTGAGCTGCCCATGGAGCCCATGCCAGGCTGCAGGTGACATTGACAGTTACATGTTCCTGCCCAACCCCTACAACCTGTCTCTCACACCCCTGCCCATAGAGCAGAGATAGAAGCCTGTCCTGGCTCACAAGCCCTGCTCACCAGGCCTTTAGTGGCAGGACATATCTGTACAGGTGGAAGACAGTCAGAGAAGGTTTTTAGCCTTAAGGTATGACTGCTCCAAACTCCAAGCTAGCACTAACACTGATCAACATCTGTGTACCTTACAGTGTAAGGTGTAACAAGGCCCTAAGCAGCCCAGGAGCAGACCTCCAGGCAGCACAGCAAGAACAACTGCATGCTCCAGTGGAGGCAGGCAGGTTAGCTGTCAAGCCTAAATGGAAACCCCTGTGGATGATAGGAGAGCCACCTGACAAAATGGGGGTGGACTTTAGAGACACATAAGGCCAGTGACTGAGAAGAGTCAGGCAGTCTGGTCCTGCAGGCAGCAGGGAAAGGAGCTCTTGAGCAGGATGGCTACAGAAAGGGATGGAGTAGCACCCAGGCTGTCCCTGAGAGATGCAAATAGAGGGCTAAGGGAGATGGGTAGCCTGTGGGGAAGTTATTGATTCAGAGGGGGGACTCTGAGTTTACAGTGATTGTTTGGATTTTTGTTCTAGTTTATACTGGAGAAGTGGATACGTTTGTGAGAGAAGGAAAGGAGACCACAGGGATGCCTGAGGGTACACTAGGTTTTGAGCCCTGCAAGGGGCAGGGGTGCAAGGGACAGAAAGGCTAAGCCCAAGAGGACTGGAGCCACAGCCCAGAGGGGGCAATGCAGACAGGCTCAGGCTGAGAGGGCTGGAGACAGAGCCCAAAGGGGGTAACACAGGCTGAGGCCAAGAGGGCCAGAGCCTGAGCCCAGAGGGGGCAACCAAGGTGGTCTGAGGCTGAGAAGACCAAAGCCAGGGCCCAGAGGCAGGAAGAGAGGTATCCAGAGGCTGATGGGAGGCTAAGACTGAAAGGCCAAGCCAGAGCCAGTGGGCCTAGCCTACCAGTCTGTAGCTAAAGTAATCTGTAGGCCAAGGCTGAGAAGGCCAAAGACTGTTCAAGGGAGTAACTGCTGACA